AGCTGATCTTGGTGATTGTTACCATCTTGGAACTGGAGTAGAAAAGGATGAACAAAAGGCATTTGAATGGTATCAAAAAGCTGCTGAACAAGGACATGCTGGTGCACAAGTTGATCTTGGTTTATATTATTATAATGGTGTTGTTGTGGAAAAAGATGAACAAAAGGCAATTGAATTGTATCAAAAAGCTGCTGAACAAGGTAATGTTAGAGCACAATATAATCTTGATTTGTATCATAATGGAATTGGAATAGAAAAAGGCAAACAAAAAGCAACTGAACAAGATGATGCTGATGTGCAAGCTGATTTTGATAATTATAGCCACATTGAAACTGGAGTAGAAAATGTAAATAGTGAACAAAAGATGGTTAATATTGAATTATACAAAAAAGCAGCTGAACAAGGTAGTATTAATGCACAAGCTAATCACTTTGGAACTGAAATAGACAAAGATGAACAAAAAGCAACTGAATTGTATCAAATGGCTGCTGAACAAGGTGATGCTGTTGCACAATATAATCTTGGTCTGTATTATCATAATGGAGTTGGAGTAGTAGTAGAAAAGGATGAACAAAAGGCATTTGAATGGTATCAAAAAGCTGCTGAACAAGGACATGCAAATGCACTGTTTAATCTTGGTTTGTGTTATTATAATGGACTTGGAGTAGAAAAAGATGAACAAAAAGCAATTGAATGTTACCATAAAGCAGCTGAAAAACAAGATACCAGAGCTCAATATAATCTTGGTGTGTGTTATGAAAGGGGAACTGGAGTAGAAAAAGATGAACAAAAAGCATTTGAATGGTATAAAAATGCTGCTGAACAAGGGCATGCTAGTGCTCAATATAATCTTGGTAATTGTTATCATAATGGAATTGGAGTTGAAAAAAATGAACCAAAGGCAATTGAATGGTACAAAAAAGCTGCTGAACAAGGTGATGCACAAGTTGATCTAGATAATAAGTCTCATGTTGAAGCTGAAGTAGAAAAAGATAAGAAAAAAACAGTTGATATTGAATCATATCAAAAAGCTGCTGAAGAAGGTGATGCTGTTGCACAATATAATCTTGGTTTGTGTTATCAACTTGGAACTGGAGTAGAAGAAGATAAACAAAAGGCATTTGAATGGTATCAAAAAGCTGCTGAACAAGGACATGCTGTTGCACAATATAATCTTGGATTGTGTTATTATAATGAAATTGGAGTAGAAAAAGATGAACAAAAGGCAGCTGAATGGTATCAAAAAGCTGCTGAACAGGGTGATGCATTTGCACAATATAATCTTGGCAATTGTTATTATCTTGGGACTGGAGTAGAAAAAGATGAAGACAAGGCAACTGAATGGTATCAAAAAGCTGCTGGGCAAGGACATGCTTTTGCACAATATAATCTTGGTGATTATAATTTTGGGGCTGGAGTAAAAGAAGATGAACAAAAAGCAGTTGATTGGTTTTAAGCAACTGAACAATAACAGGCTAGATTATATACAAAAAACATATAGTAATAGGCAACATAATGTGGCTGGTGTTATGAGGGATGTAAGGGAAGAAAGCCAAAGTTGCTGAGCAAGAGTATATAATTAAGTCTATTTTAAATATAATAGTAAATCCAAATTAAAGAAAGGATTCAATAATTAACTAAGTCATCTATGTTAATATCCAGTAAAGAAGCAGAATAGGGTTTAGATAAGGTAAATAGTTGTTTTATTTTGCAAATTGTATCAATAATAATAATAAAGCCACATGTATTATTTGTAATCTCACAATTTTATTAATGCTGAAATTTTATAAATGGGTACTAGTACTATTTCCAATGTCACAAAAAAAAAGAACTTTTTTGATGACCATTGCCTCAAGCGTTTTACATCATAGTAATGGCTTGCTTAACTGTTACCATGTCAAAGTAAAAGATGAGTTTGTATTTATATACTTTACAGAAACTGTATATTCGCCAGAAATGTTGTCACAAGGTAGTTACTAGTTATATGTAATATTAATTATAATGTTTACACAACATTTTGTGACCTAATTACAACTTGTCATAAGAACATTGATTTAGAGTTGTGGAAGCATTGTACTATGTAAGCATTGATCAATGGTAGTATAATAATTATATATTGCTTGTATTCGCCTTATAATAACCTAAGCCTAACATTGTTGCAATACAGTAACTATATAGTGACTGGATTGATATACCAACCTTGTTACAACCTAGCTACAAAGAACATTGATTTAGCATAGTTAAAGCATAGTAACAACATTGTGACGATATCATATTAACTTTTCCACAATATAGGCATAATGAATCATCGGATAGTTTTATGCTAGTAAAAGCGTTGTTGAATTTATGATTTTTATAAACTGTTGTTATTTCCAATGCTTTATTTGAGAATCAAATCATAATATTTATTTAGTACACAATGAAGTCCAGTTTAAATAAAATGTCCGTTCCATTGCCTAATTATAGTGTGGACACGCTTCAATCGAAGTTGGGTCGGGAACATAGGTGGAAAATGCTAAGAAATTCGGTTTAATTAGTAAATTCAGTTATTGGGGCAAATTTAATATAGATGTTTAGAACTTACCTTCACTGCAGTCATGTGTCCGTAAATTTTTTGATGGTGATCCTGGGGTAGTTTTTTGGATTCGAAAATCATTCTATGATTGTGTAATTACAAAATTATATACTCAGCAACGTAAAACAAATTATCACTCCAATTAATATCGTTGTCCCAACGATTATCATAATCACAACCACTATTATCGTCATCTCCCAATTATCAACAGTCTGTATTTTTCGCCAAACCTTCCATTATTGTTATTGTCTCGTTCTTGTTCTTTAACATTAATTTTTCTTTTAGATGGGCGGGTCATTGAATAGGTTCAACCAAGATTATCAAGAAACAATGTAAATTCCGTATACGAAGTGCTGATCTCTAGTCCGAAATTTGCCTCTTTTGTTATATATACAGTCAAGATTCGATGTAAAGTCGACGGGACGGGGTTGTTTTTTGACTATATCGAATATTCTCGTTATAGTAAAGTTTATATATACGTGGCATAAATCTTTACTACATCGCAGTCTTGTGGTAGCATAATAATAAATGACTTAAACGTTATTTTGACTGAAGATTCAATTGTGCTGAACAAATGTACTGATACTAAGTCATTAACGGAGCAAATGCATACTGTTCAATTATTAGTAACTTCTTGATTTGGTCAATTTATTAAAGCCATTTCAAAAAAAAAAACGTAAAATTGACTATAGCACCAATTATTGTGCGATACGTAATGTTTGCGGACAAACATATCCAACACGCTTTGTTTTCTCGAAGCAAATTCCTTGAAACAATTTCTTTTTCAATGTGCTTAAACCTCTGACGAAAGAATTATCAACAATAAAGTCGCCATCCGGTTGTTGTTCAAAAAAAGTTACGATGCCGTCAACAAATGTAATGGCTTGTGCATAGGATAACGGTTCTGTCTCCAAATCTTTATCATCCGATTTATTTGACTCACAATTCTTTACGATTGAAACGATTTCTTCGTCTGTTGGTATCTCACATTGTTCTCTTACTTTTATTTACCACGTGTTTGTTCGTATTATTGTTGGTCAAAATCCATCAAGTGGTACAATATTCACTATATCGAGAACGAGAGACCAATTTACTAATATTTTTTGAGACTATAACGCGAAATTTATCATATCGAGACTTACTATGAAACTTTAATTTATCGAGGAAAAATTTAATACTTCGGTTTTTTGTTCAGAGGAATTCTTGACTATAACGCGAAGTTTACTATATTGAGACTTTACTATATCAAGTCTTGACTGAAATTTACTGAATTTTAAACCATAATAACTTGAAATTTTACATAACATTTTATAAAAGTACACCGGTAAAATGTTCAGCTTACTTTAATTTATCATTCTATCGGCTTAGATTTGCAATAGGTTTATTTGTTTTTAACTTATAAAGTTTGAAAGTCATGTAATATTTGTGCGGTTTATAGATGATAGCCACCATAGTCAAATTTAAACCGTACTTAATATTATATAATTTTTTACACACACATTGATAACAGTTATTGTCGCGGCTGATGCTGAGACTCACGTGATATATACTTATGTTACGTAAAAAGCAGTAACGTGTAACGTTTAATATCACTTTTACGTAATGATTGTACAACGCAACACATATCATTTCCTCTTTTATTTCATATACATATATATTTTGATACATTATTAAAATCAGGCATTACAGTAAGCGATATTTGGAAAACCAATGGAAAATGACCGAATTTACACATGGAAGAATTTAGGAATCGAAATAAGGAGAAGTTAGTATGATAAAAGAGCATTTGTACAGCATCACAAATTGCAAATACTCTATTAAACCAAATACCGTACATTTCACAATCTAGCAATAAAAAACAGTCACGAGATAAAACGTTAGAAGCAAGAATCATATCCATAATCCCAAATCCATGAACACTAACATTGTGTCAGAAAGGCGTAAATCTATAGAATATAATTTACAAGTTGAATAATAGCCTAAAATGTACAGATTCATAATAACACGTCGCATACAAATCGCATATCGTCGAATACTAACATCCATAAAACGAAAGATCGTAACGGCATAATCTGTTAGAAGCATGTGAAGAGAAAATCAGTATTAGAAACATACGATATGAGAGTAATGTAAGTAAAATTCTCAAATCGCTCGATAATTCGATTTCGTCATAATTCGATCGCTTAAGCAAGACCCGAAATTTTTTTTATTATTGTTTTCCTTAAGTACATATGCCCTTAATTCGACTTGTGTTAATGACCGATCGAATTATTTCAATCGTTTGTATAACGTAGCGTGCATCTGTGTGACCATGACGTGATTTTTGAGATTATGAGCCGGGACACCCCCAATTATTAGGTAATAGAAAATCAGTCATGCGGATCTCAGCATCAGCGGATCTCAGCATCAGCCGCGACACTCACTATTAATTTGGTCCCATCGCCAGAAAGATATCTTGTTGGATATCATATAAGTCAATCGCAACTCCTGGTCTTTGAAGAAGCGATTGGGGCTGGGGATATGGCTGCTGTGAAGAAATAATCGTATAAAACGAAGGAAGGGGAGGAGGTTGTGCGCAATCAGCATAGATGCAATCACAATCGATTGTAATCCATTTCATATGAGGATTACTGCAAAATTGGCTCTCCCTTCCATTCGCATATACAGATCCGAACTCAATCTGAGGGTACCAAATAATGTGAGTTAATACTAAACAAGCAAAAGAATAACAATTGTAAAACACAAATCCTACCTCTTCAATTGGTTCGAATCTTGTCGCATTTGGGTTTTGTCGAAGAGTTGCAGCCCGACAAAATTTGAGGCACTGTCAAAAGATATAATAACAATTAAACAGATGAAGTACGAAGGGAAAAAAAATCGCAAACTACACTAACCCGCAAACGACGCAAAGGGCGTCTAGTCGTCGTATTACGGCATCTTCTCTCCCAATTACCTAATTTTATAACGATAACGTCTTCACAGCGATTCGGTGCCAGCCAAAACTTGTTTATTTTGGCCTTCACATGTTGAAGTGTTTCCGAAGAAGCGACTTCAAAAATTATGCTAGGCCATGGATTTCCCTAAAAATATAATGAATCCATATTGATATCTTACAAATTATTAGTTATATTAATATTGACAAATCATACGAACATTCCGATCACAAGGATTTTGTGCTGGTTGACCCAATAGACGTCTTGGTATAAAACATGCATCTGGCTCTTGATATTCGTTGCTTGGAAGATTAGTGTATAACTCTGGATGAAATAAAGTTTAATTTCAGTACAACAAAATATGCAGGCTAAATTCTTGTTAGGACTTACTTATTGCGCCCAAGACACATATATCATCTTGTGCTGATACATTATTGAATGCACTTGTAAACTGACGGGTAAATTTGGCATGCGTAATTTCGTGTTCGGCAGTAGGCAGCTCAATAATAGTTACAGTGCCATTTTGATAATCCAAGAACCTCCTAGCTTTAATAATTTCAACTCGTTTCGCGAACTGACTAAATGTTACGTCTCTTGCTAAAACTAGAGGCAATCTAACATAATAAATCAAACTTTAGCATGAGATAATGTAATAAATGAATGCTAATGTTTTACCTTTTTTCATCGATATCCAGAGAACCTAGAGACGCCTTAGTCGACCACCAATATATTTCTTTTTCATCGGCTTCGTTTATATAATTTATATTATCTGCGTCGCTAGTATTTGCGCCGTTATTTGTATCTGCATTCATTTCGAATCCAGATGCCAGGTTACTTAAGTCATAACTAGAGCTTAGACTGGAACTGAGCCTAAGCTGGTTGATGGTTTCTGTAACGGAAAGATCGCTCTGTAACCGAGGTTTTGGTGCAGAAGTGCTTTCAACTTCGGCACGTTTTCGTTTCTTGGAGACATACGACAATGGATATCTGGATTCGTCCGAATCTTCAGCAGCAGACGAAGCAGTCGACATTTTGAAAAGTTTTTTTTTATTGAGATTGGGCTACCTACCTATTTGCATAACGTATATTTGCGTATTCTGTTTATTTGCATAAAGAAGCCCCAGTCCCCTTAGTGGGACCTATTAGCTATTTGCATAACGTAAACATGCATATATGCATCAAAGGCGGACCCTAACTCTAGTAGATCCGGCCAACGTATATTTGCATTCACGTTATGCAAATAGCCCACTAAGGGACCGGGGCTCCTTATGCAAATAGACATGTGCGACTGTACAAAAAAACGCGCGGCATGCTTCTACAATTCGTCTTTGTACTAATCAATGACGTATTATTGGGAACTTTTTAGATAATCACAGTCACACCTGTCTATTTGCGGACCGATAGATTTTTATGCAAATGTACGTTATCACATGATTGTTGATGCTGATCACATGATTTGATACTCGAATTTTTTTTATTATTATGCCCTCCTCATACACGATGAAGAACACTACATTGAGCAATCAATACGTTATCAAATCTGCTTAAAAAAGCAGAATGACCCAAAAAGAATCAATAAAGTAGTGCGAGCAAGAACTTGAAAGTTGATCAACCAACTATTCCAGAACGTTAAAACGCTCATCTGAGTAGTTCTGTACTAACAGGCAGACAATACCGCTGATGGTGTAACCTGCATTTGTGTGATGTAACACAAGTGTTGAAAACGAACATTTGTTTCAACTTGAATTCTTAAAGTCGTCAATATTCTTATAAAATCGAATTCTTAAAGTCAATCTATTACTATGTCGTTAGCATCAGACACTCTTGAATGGGAAACTACCAACGTAAAGCCGACTCAAATTGACAACGTTTACTACGCTATTCATGATGATGAGACGATAACGTCGTTGCGTTGGTATTAGTTGGAAGTAGCGAAGAGTGCACACCAACACTTGTGAGTGAGTTTGTTAGAATACACTCACTTCCAACATACAAGTACAATAACAATGACAATAACTTTAGACGATACTCTGTATGGCTTAAGCGTCGCAACAAACTCATAAAAGGATTAATCAAGCATGATGACAAGTATTACATGGTCGCCGTTAAACGCTTTTATCAGTGTTACTCTCGGTATGGATTCTGTTCCAAATGTGGAATACTCCGCTGTAGTCCCGTGTGGTGCATATGCGGACATAAACAATTATCAGATGGATGGACTAGCAGCAATAAACAGCTCGATGAGTTTATAAAGAAGACTCAGTCACAAACAAACTCTGCAAATGACGCCTAATTGGAATGGATTTCATTTGATTGGATTGGTGATAGGAGAGATGGAAGTGAATGGTTGTATGGTCGTACCTACCGATAATTATGTTAAATTGATTCCACTTGAGATAACAGATGAGACACATGATTTATATTATGCCGAGGTAAACTATTTGCTTATCATGTTTATTGAATAGTTTAAATAATTATTGACTTATTATTATGTAATATTAGTTATGTGATGAGCATCCTGATATTCTTAACAGGGATGTTTGGGTTACCATCGAATTTACATATGACAATAAATGGAGAGGGAAGTATTATCTCGTAAAAGAAAAGGAGAGGCGTGGATTATGTCTGGCATGTACAGCCAAGTATAAACGTCATATAAGTGCATTCTGTTATGAATGCAAAGCACCAAGACACCTTAATTGGACGACTGGCAAGAAGTCATTGGATTCATTTATTACAGAGTCACGGCGCAATACGATGAATGAAGATGATGCGTATATACAATGGATAGAATATTCTCTATTAACAAACATACAAGAGGATACGCCATTACGTCATGGATGCACACATATAATGAATTGACCTGTGTAACACTCAAAAAAGTAGTTGACGAACAAAACAATCAGTCGCTTGATTTTCATCAGGTAAATTATACGTGTAAACAATGCAATCGATAAGTGCGTATCATACGTTTAATTGACAAGTGTTCTAACGTCGTATTCTATTTGTTTCAAAATAGTTAACTAAGGAATACCCGACGATATTAACATCTGAGAACATTTGGATAATTGGAATCACTCAGGAGCCATCTACTCTAAAGGACACACAAAATCAGGAGCCATCTACTACTACTCGGGAATTTTATTTAGTTTTCTATTACGACGTATATGCAATACTGAACACATTTATACGAAATACCTATTCATATTGGGTTAAATACATGCAGTATAGCGAGCGACTTTTATGAACTCAAAGAGATTGGATCTGGTGGTTAAGGAACGATTTATACTGCCAAGTATAAAAATTATTTGGAAGTATGGCATATGAATGAGGAAACCGTTGTACTCAAACGATTTAAAAATTTTGATGAAATGTCGGAATTATTTATTTCTGGGGTAAGTAATGATTGGTACTATTACTATTAATTAAAGTGATATTTTAAGCTGTCTCTATTATTATTTATTTATTTAATAGTTCAGAAATCATGCCAAGTGTGCAACCAATCATGTTTTATTCCTTCAAATTTATGGAGTCATACAAGATCCAGAGACAGAAGAGTACATGACTGTTATGCAATATACTAACAATGGCAGCCGTTTGTCTTATTTGGTTCAAAATATTAACAAATTGACGTGGTTGGATAAATTACGGCATTTGTACGATATTGCATATTATCTGTATGTTATTCATGATACGGGGTTAGTGCATTGTAATCTTCATGGCGGAAACATTGTTATGCATACGGATGATACGGGTTATACAAAATCATACAGTATATATGCGATCTTGGTCTTTCACGGTCAATGAATTCACGCAAGTCAAATTCAATCAGTCAAGGCGGTTTGCCATTTATTGCACCGGAAGTTTTCCATACCCGCAATTTACTCAGAAATCGGATGTATATTCATTTGGTATCATTATGTATTTGATTGCTACTGGCGAACCGCCACTTAGAGATTAGTCGTCTGACAAATGTTTGGCGATACGTGTTTGTGAGGGACTGCGACCGTCGATGCCTGATTCTGCGCCGGAGGCATACAAGAAACTTGCCGAGCGGTGTTGTGATGCTGATCTTGATAAACGTCCTGATGCAGAGACACTTTGGAACAATATTATTGAAAATGTAGAAGAGGATAAATCTGGTAACAAGTGTGGAATACTGTTTATTATAATGATGTAAAGCCATTGTCACGTCTCGAGGAGAATAAATATTCCAGCACACTCTTATCTACTGGAGCTTTGCTTAAACTGAGAAATAGTAATGATTTGAATTCAGCTGCAGGTACGATTACATGTTGATACAATGAAGTCAATCTACAATATTACAATGTTAACACTTTAACACATTTTTTATAATTTAGCAACTCAAACAAACTCGTAGTTTACACTTTATTATAGTTATATAAATTTTATTCAAAGGTTTGAATTATACAATGTGCTTCTACATATGTCAATATGGATGAGTTAACAAAACGTTGAAATAAAGTTATGCATATTTACAGTTAGATGCGGCTGTGTATTAGAAAAATATAAGCAAATTATTAATTGATTAATTAATTAATTAAAAGTAAATATTGAGAACCAATTATCTAAGGCTTATAAATAAATAAATAGCCATATTGCCTGAACAATAAAACTTACTTGATGATGCGTCAGTCAATAATGCATTCTGGATAGTGTTATTAACGTACGCAAGATTTCGATAGACGCGATAGTACGCTTCATAACTAGAATGCAGATAAAAACTTTGGGAATGTAATAAAGCATAAAATTTGACACTTCTGTAAGAATTAAATTTTAATTATTTTACTGCGTATCAGACGGTATTTCATATTTCTCAAAAACTATTGCCACTCTTTTCGTGGGGAACAAACTCACTTTGAGACAGTCTTTGATGAAATACTGCATTTACATGATTGGGTAAAACAAAATTTCAGACAAAATTACAGTTTTCTATGACTTGACAACAGTGGTAATTATAAAAGTGAACGTCAGCAGCTTATTATACAATTGTATTCTATTTTTGTCTTCATTGTCTTATAATAGTCGTTTAATCGACGGAAAATAATAGATGTATGTAACTTTAGTCTTGCAATTTAGCTTGCCGAGAGATTTAACTTCGAACTATTCGACCTAAAAGTTCTACTGACAAACAAGTAAAATGCCAAAAATTTTATTTACACCAGTTATGTAGAATATGTACGAATAAACTAAGACGTTATAGTCACGCAAATATATTTTCAGGTTGACAATTAAAGTTTGGATAGTATTCATACAAACAGGCACTAATTTATGTTGCAAAAGTACAGAATACAAAGAATAAAAGTCCAAGTTAATCAGTATTGCAACTGGCGAAGTACCACATAATACGGAAGGCAAAAATGTGTAAACGCGCTGATCCAAAGCATATATGCGTTTTGGCCTAGTTATTAAATAAATTACAATTATAAAACATGATTAACAAAACGTTCCAAATTATATTCTGTGTTCACAATGTTATTCATCCATAGATGAATAACTAGACAAAACATTTGTTTACATGTCCTTGCAATATCTTGCGTCTTTCTAGCATTGTCCAAAGCAAGACAAGCTCATGATATCTTAAGTAGACGTTCTAAATGAGAACATGTTGCAATTATACTGTATGTCTACACAGAAATCTTCCAAAATTAATCCTGAAGTAACCAAAAAACACAACAGACAGCTAAAAACTTGTCAACACTTACTGTACGTGTTAAGATACAATCGTTGATTTGAACAATGAATTAGTAAAACCAATAAAACAAATACAAAGCACGCTGTTACATTAATAATAATAATACAATTACATACTCTTAAATAAACCACTATCATATAATTATAATAGTACACATTTACCAATTAAACGTAGTGATAATGCTGTCGATTTACTTGACAAAATCAAGCTGCCCGACAAATAAGACTTATTACAGAATTACGAACAAAAAACCTCTCCAAGTGTAATTGCTCTGTGTTACGTGTCATCGTTATCGCTCTTTTGTTACATATTTCCTATAAGATTTATGTTCTATTTGAGAAAGCGGAGAATTTTACTGTTTATAGTAATAGCCGCGTTAAGGCTTTGTTATCAGTCTCTTACGTTGCCTTCTTATTGTCCACTTATAATGACGCAGATAAACTAATCCGACCAACAAGTTAAAAAACGACAATCGCGGAAGAGCAATTAAACTTAAATTATATATATCTCTTTCGAACGGAGTTGTGGCTTTTCTACTTTGATGAATGTTAAACGAGGCTTTACTAATCATGACACAATGTCGACCGGCAGAGACAAATTAAGCGACCATTTTCTCCGACGGGTTATTCGGAACCTGAGTTGGGATATACAGTACTGTATTTAACCAGATGCATTTTTACTTGCAAATAACAAGCATATTCCACGAGACATCCACGGCATACGGAATGGAACCGAGTATGCTAATCGATATTAATATAGGGATTGGTGAGAGTTCACAATTATCGAATCATTGAAAGTAAGTGAACACACAACAGACACATCGATCGTGACGGAAAAGCAGATTGTTTCGAAACCGCCCACTTACTGACTTTTCGTTTACTGTGTACTAATCGCTGAGCTGATTGTCGACGTCGCAGTACCGATAGGTTAACGATTCTTCATTATTGGTAGAATCAAAGTTTAAAATTTCCAAATTGTCTAGTTAACTGTAATGCATTCGCTATTGTATGTTGAATGCAATCCGTGGGAGAGTTTAATTGAGTCTATTTACAATATAAACTGGTTTTAGGACATGTCTAAAGCGGAGCAGATTTCTCGCAGTTCCATTGGTCAAATCTGTATGACAGCCAATAGTAGTACTGTATTCCCGATCGTAATTATGTGTTACTTACTTATGCAACACAATCAAGATCAATTGTCGAGAACTTCCAAGTCAATATAGTAATAGTAACAATAACCATGTCATCAATCGCCTTAGAGAAGGAGTGGTTGGAAAAGAGTATCGCAAGTGAATACATTAGGTTTTATCCTTACGATGGTTTAATCGATAAAGACTGCATCGGCCATGGTGCGTTTGGTGTAGTATTCAAAGCAACAGTAGCAAAGACAGGTATCGTCGTTGCATACAAGATGATCAAATATTGGAATGAAGATGAGTTTTTCAAAAGTTTTGTAAAAGAGGTGCGTATAACATATGACTGAAGTGTTGATGGAATTACGAAATTGTGTTTTATATCTTCTCGTTTCATGACATATTCTAGCTCAAGATCCATCGTAGCGTAGATGACCATCACAATATAACTCGATTCCTTGGTATTAGCAAGGGTAAGGTAGCTAATCGATTTAATCTATTTAAATAACGAGCGCTTATACAGCTACTTTCTAAAATTTTTCAGATACCCGAGGAAAATACTTGATGGTCTTTGAGTATGCGGACAATGGTTCCTTGCGAGACTACTTATCGACGCCAACGGTCAAACTAGACTGGCCCGCCAATTGTCAACTAAGTTTAGATATTATCAATGGATTGAGACATATTCATAGAACGGGAATCTTGCATAAAGATTTAGTACGTGTATCTATATCTAGTCATTAATATTTTATTGACATAACGTGAATGCTGACAATAATTTCTTATCTCAAGTCTTCAAACAATGTATTGGTTCATGGAAAAACAGCTAAAATTACGGATTTTGGAACGTCTGAAATAATGCTACAACGAAAGACTTGTTCAGACCACCGAGGAACTCATGCATACCTTGATCCCAAATGCTTTAACAATGACAGTAGTCGGGACGAAAAGTCGGATATTTTTAGTTTTGGAATTCTTATGTGGGAAATATCCAGTAGAGAATATCCATGCAGTGAATTCGACAGCATCTTAGACATTCAGATTTACAGGCTGAAAGGGGGTCGTCATAATGTAGTTCCAGGCACGCCAGAAGAGTATAAATGTTTATATACAGAATGTTGGAACAGTGATTCAGACCAACGCCCAACTAGTCAACAATGCTATGATAGGCTAAGAAATACATTAGCAAAACTGAATAATAATAAGCTCTGTGATCAGCATAAAGAAATAGTTGAAGACCATCCACTTTCTGATAAGTTGTCCATTTTATACCAGAAATTAGAGCTTAATGGGAAAACTGAAGAAAAAATTGCTGATGTTATCAGCAATTCAATAATTCAAAATAGTGAGGAACAAAAGAATGCAGAGGTCATATTAAAATCTCATATTGGTTGTGGACAATGCTTGTGGCTGATTGGATTCTTCTATGCACATGGAATAGAAACTGGCAAAAGTCTTGAGCAAGCTTTTCAATGGTATCAGAAAGCAGCTGAACAAGGTTATGCGAGGGCACAAACTAGCCTTGGTTATTGCTATCGTATAGGGGAAGGAGCAGGAAAGGACATTCAAAAGGCAGTTGAATTCTATCAGAGAGCAGCTGAACAGGATGATGCCAGGGCACAAGTTAATCTTGGTAACTGCTATTATAATGGGACTGGTGTAAAAAAGAATGTTCAAAAGGCAGTTGAGTTGTATCAGAAAGCTGCTGAACAAGGACATGCCAAAGCACAAGTTAATCTTGGTAACTGCTATTATAATGGGACAGGAGTGGAAAAAAATATTCAAGAAGCAGTTGAGCTGTATCAGAAAGCTGCTGAACAAGGACGTGCCAAAGCACAATATTATCTTGGTGTTTGCTATGAGAATGGGACAGGTGTAGGAAAGGACATTCAAAAAGCAGTTGAGTTGTATCAAAAATCTGCTGAACAAGGACTTGCCAATGCACAATATAATCTTGGTGTTTGCTATGAGAATGGGACAGGAGTGGAACAGAATATTCAAAAAGCTGTTGAGTTGTATCAAAAATCTGCTGAACAAGGACTTGCCAATGCACAATATAATTTTGGTGTTTGCTATGAGAATGGGACAGGAGTGGAACAGAATATTCAAAAAGCTGTTGAGCTGTATCAGAAAGCTGCTGAACAAGGACTTGCCAATGCACAATATAATCTTGGTGTTTGCTATGAGAATGGGACAGGAGTGGAACAAAATATTCAAAAAGCAGTCGAGTTGTATCAGGAAGCTGCTGAACAAGGACTTGCCAATGCACAATATAATCTTGGTGTTTGTTATTATAATGGGATAGGGGTGGAAAAGAATATTAAAAAAGCAGTCGAGCTGTATCAGAAATCTGCTGAACAAGGACATGCCAAAGCACAATATAATCTTGGTGTTTGCTATGAGAATGAGACAGGCATGGAAAAGAATATTAAAAAAGCAGTTGAGCTGTATCAGAAAGCTGCTGAACAAGGACTTGCCAAAGCACAATATTATCTTGGTGTTTGCTATGAGAGTGGGACAGGAGTGGAAAAGAATATTCAAAGAGCAGTCGAGCTGTATCAAAAATCTGCTGAACAAGGACTTGCCAAAGCACAATACAATCTTGGTGTTTGCTATGAAAATGGGACAGGTGTAAAAAAGAACATTCAAAAAGCTGTTGAGCTGTATCAAAAATCTGCTGAACAAGGACATGCCAAAGCACGATATAATCTTGATGTTTGCTATTATTATTATAAGGGACAGGGGTAAACAAAACCATTCAGAAAGCAGTTGTGCTGTGTAACAAAGCAGCTGAATGAGAACTTGTGAATGCACAATATAATCTTGATATTCTTTATAAGAGTGGAAAAGATAAAGCAGTTGAGCTGTATCAGGAATTAGCTGAACATGGTTATACTGGGGGCACAAAATAATTTAATGCTTGCTATGAGAAAGAGACAAACTTGAAATAAATTTCAAAACAATCAAGCTGTATCTTATTCAGTTATTAGACTAAATGGTATATTAATATTAAATGTAAAGTACATTAGGGATTACTGAATAAATTCAACAAAATTCAGAATGAGAATGTTGAGTTCTTGTTAATATTAGTGGGCTTTGTTGTATGTTTTTTGATATAAGCATAAAACTTGACTTTGAATTAATTTATTATTAATAAACGGATGTCTACATTGCAATATTAATCATGTAACTGAAGCAATCACCACAGGGAGCAATCAGTAATTATTGTAAAGGGGAAAGCAGTGACTGTTTCTGTAGATGAGGTCGATTATTAATATTATAATTAATATGAAGTTGACACAATAACATGGCATGGCCTTGCATTGTATGATTGCATGTTATTAACATGACTCACATCTGACTAAGATTATTTTGAAGGCTTTTAACAAAGTAGCTTTAGAAAGCATTCAAAATTTACACAAAAAAATATTGATACAGACATAAACAGTTTGTTGATTACACAAATTAAGATCACGTTAGAATAATGGTTCCATTTATGTCTCAGCATTTTACTGAAGCCTATTTTTTCTTGTCTTTGCAATAAAGTAATACAGTCAAACCTCAATATAGTAAAGTAAAAGTTTGAATACAGTGAATTTTGCATTATTATTATAGTCAAGGATTTATCTGATACAAAAACATTATTATTAATATTAAAAATTTTCTTGATATAATAAAGTTATATTAATATAGTAATAGTACGCATAAGTCTCATTATTAGATATAGCCAAGTTTTTTCTCAAACAGTATTAGTAGATTGCTTCCTGATACATAGTCAAATTCGATAAGATAAAGTCACTCCAAGATAAAGTCACTCTAAGATAAAAAATTTTCCCGCCCCGAATTTTTTGTATTAAAAATACCTCGATAATATAAATTTTATTATAAAACCTCGATAACTCCGTAAGATAAAGAAAATTCTCTCACACTTCTAATAAATCAACCTCCTCTCCTTAAGTTAAATACCTCGATTAGTTAAGGATTTGCCTCTTTAAATTAAATAATTTACCATTTATGGAATAAGTGTTACCAAACAATCTTAGTCTTGATTTCGAAAATATGAATGCCACTGCCGGACCTTCTGTTAAGAATAAACGTAAGAATATATGTAATTCATTATCTGGTAGTAATCAATTACGAGAAAGACTTAACAGGACTACAAAAGAAAAAACTCTGTGAAATGTTTAATACGCGCTTATATCAAAATCAAGAACTTGCGGAGATATTTTCAGTTAGTCCTTCTACAGTAACTTTAATTGTCAGTGAAAAGGACAAATGGTTATCATTGGATGCCACCTCCCAAACAGCAAAAATTAAGCGAAACAAAGTACCCAAATTTCCAAATCTAGAAAAAGCTCTGGTGATATGAACATTGTTCAAACGATTCAAGAGCCATCTGAAGATGAGTTGTCCGAAGATGAGCCATTTTAGGAACTTCCAAATATCTCTCCTTCAGAAGATCTTTGTGCATTAGACACACTTGTAATTTATCTTGATCAGAATCAGACAGATTACTCTAATGATACGAAATCAGTATTGCGTAATTTACGTCGGGGTATTGATCGTCAAGTAATTGAAACACGCAAGCAGTCCATTATAACCAAATATTTCCACCAATAGTAGCAATTTGTAGTAATGCCGCAGTATATTCGATAAAATAAAACCTCTGTAACTTAAACCGTTACTACCAGCCCGTCGACTTCTATCTTATCGAGTTTGACTATGTATAATGAACTTGATGCATTTTGACCAATCATAATACAAACACGTGTTAAATAAAAGTGAGAGAAATTTAACAGCATGAAAATTGAAAGATAGACATTACGAAGAGAAAAAAGACAAAGGTAATTCAGAAAGAAGTTTTTTTGGTGTCCAGAAAGCTGAAATATGTCATTTAAAGAGCAAGACTTACCCAGGTTATTTTCGAGGCAACTGTTTTAAAGATTGTGCGCGATAAGATAAGGTGGGGTGGTTATCACTTGATCTAAATACTAATAAGGTTGTCATGAAGCGACAAAGAATTGGAAAGCATTCTCTGTTAGAAGATAAAGAGGCTGTTGTTATTTGGATATCTCGAGTTGTAAAAAATATTCAACTACCTTAGTGAGTAAGCATTGAAGAATTTCTTAAAATAACAATCAATGTTACGTTTTTTCGTCTATATTTTTTTTTGTTTCTTCGTTTTAATGGCTTTAATAAATAATAAAACGTTGATCGAATAAACTACTATAATAATAAAACTGGCCAGTCGCGATATAGTGAAGATTTATGCCACTTACATATGAACTTTATTATATTGAAATTTTTGATATAGTAAATTTCTCGATATAGTAAAGAAAAAACCCCATCCCGTCGACTTTACTATATCGAGGTTTGACTGTACTGTATTTAGGTTTGTGTGATGCATTCGAGCAAATCAATCATGAGATGTCAGAGTTAAGGTAAACAATTTCCGATTTAGTTGATGCCCCTCCCCAGATGTCCCTACCTATTTATGGCATTAATTTCCAAATTTGGTTGGGGCATCATGTTAAAAAGGTCCTAAACTGTGTCTAAGTTGTGCCATTTTTAGGATACTAAAATCTTCGTAGCGAGATACATAATTACGTAGTCTCTCCAAATGTAGTGTAACATAACAGACATCATCGGCATCTTCAGCTAGAAATAAGACTAATGAAATGTCGGCTTGTTTATGCAACATATCCTGCAGAGTTAACAAAAATACGCCCAACTGTGAAGAACCAATATTATGATCCGATATTATATAATAAGTTTGCAATCATGGAAAAATGGAGTTTACAAGTAAGATGTCAAGTACTCGTATACTAATATTACTATTGCTATTTGTTTCTCATTTTATCCGTATGTAGGAAGACACTATCGTAATCAATCTCTACAATGCGTGCGGCCCCAATGGACAGCTATATCTCGTGCGTTGAGTAGCAAGTCTTCTCATCAGTGTTCGCAACGGTAAATACGTTAACTAGGCATTTATACAATATTTGTTGCAACATAGTTGTATCATATATATTGACATAATTTGAACGATAAATCACAGATGGCGTAACGCATTACGTCCGGGACGTACAGTGACTTCCATAAATATTGCACCACTCATGAGAAAGAGTCTTGACCTGTGATTTCTCTCAACGCAATAGTTGC